TGAAGACCAACTGTGGCAATATCATTTCTGGCATACCTAAGATTTTGAGTGAGATTGGTAGGTTCTATGGGCAGCTGTACACATCATCGTTAGAGCCATACGCAAGTGTGAGTAATGATCCAAGAGCAAGTCTTATCCGACAACATTCCGACGAGATGCCGGACGTCAGTTTGAGCGAGAACAGAATGGTTCTCCAGCACCTTAAAAACGGCAACTCCCCGGGTTAGGATGGAATTACAGCGGAGCTTCTGAAAGCATGTGGAAACCGGTACTTGAAGTTCTTTAGAAGCTCTTTAATTCCGTTATCCATGGTAGTACTACTCTGGAGGCGTGAAGCAGAAATGCAGTGGTCTTGTTCTACAAGAAAGGTGACAATGCTCTCTTGAAGAACTGCAGACCGATTTCCCTTCTGAGCCACGTTTACGTGTCTTTTTCGAAAGTCCTTACGAATCGTCTCACAGGCAAACTCGACGACTTCCAGCCTTCCGATCAAGCTAGTTTCCGAAAAGGCTTTAGCACCATAGACTACATACATACCCTTCGGGAAATTGTACAGAAGTCCGAGGAGTACAATTTGCCACTATGTCTGGCGTATGTGGGCTATGAGAAAGCCTTTAATTCCGTCGAAATTTAGGCGGTGCTGCAGTCCTAATAGCGGTGCCAAGTTAACTGTCGTTATATAGAAGTGCTGAAGTATTTGTATAGTAGGCCTACGACGGCTACCCGAGTACAGAACCAGAGTACGAAACCTATCCAACTGCAGAGAGGTGTAAAACAGGGTGACGTTATATCCCCGAAACTCTTCACCGCTGCATTTGAAGACGTTTTCAATCTATTGGACTGGAAAGGATACGATATTAACATCAATAGAAACTACATCGCTCACCTTAGATTTTCCGACGATATAGTCCTTATGGCAGAATCGCTGAAGGACCTAAGCACTATGCTCAATGACCTCAACAGTAGACACTGTTAACGACCGACCAACGAATAGGTCTTATGATGAACTTGGACAAAACAAAGTTCATGTATTACGTCCACGTCACACATATGCCGGTAGTTGTTGGGAGCACTAACCTCTAAGTTGTTGACGAGTATGTTTACCTGGGACAATTAGTCCGATTAGGTAAGTCCAACTTCGACCGACAGGTCAATCGACGGATTCAACTTGACTGAGCAGCGTTCGGGAAATTACGACACAGAAGTCAATAGTTGCAGGTGGCTCAGGACCGTGCTTTGTAGCATTCCTTCCTTGGGGGAGGCCTATGTTCAGCAGTGGACTTATGAAGGTCTGTAGTGATGATGAAGTTTAATAGTTTATTTTTTTGTTTCAAAAATTGGTTCTCATCACACCATTTTTTGGTTTGAACTTCACTTTGTGCCAAAATGTATTTCGTTCATTTATTCCGCCAATCAATGTTTTAATAATCCAGTCTTCAGTTCGTAAAGATTTCAAAATAAATGCTTTACAAGCTTAAGAAATCTAAGCTTGTTAAGAATTTATTTTGGCATCTTAACATATTTTTAAGTTGAAAGTGGTCCAAGTAGTTCGCTGTTTTACCTACTCCCTCAGAGATACAGATATAACACCTATGTATTAAATGTGCGAGTGAAATAGAAAAGGGAAAAGAATCTCAATTTGACTGGTTTACGTTTTTTGTATGTATTGTAATGACAAGCAACAAATGTGCAATATATTTTATGTAAAATATTTATAAGTACACAAAAGGCTACAATAAGGACATAACAAAACAATCAACTAAACAATAGAAAGCATAAAACTGCAATAATCTTGACACAGAAATAAAATTACCAGGGAATTAAAATGAGACTACAATAACTATTACTAGTCAGGTAGTTGTTTATTTAAATATTAATCCAAGTTTAAGTTTAAGTAAGAGTAAGTATTAGACCCTACAGATTTCAACTAAGTTCCTTATACTTACAGCCCCAAGCAGCGCCTAATACCTTAGCCCTACCATATAAATATATATACATAAATAAATGCGGGATGTCTGCACCATGAAACCTAAGGTAACAGGCATACAGAGACAGGCTGTGGGGGTTAGTTGATGGGGTTTTCTCACTGCCAGTCAAGCCTCACAAGACTAATCAAAGGTTCTGACAACTAAAGGTATCTTTGCCGCAGTGAGTTGGAGGTCTTACCAGGAATCTCGAAAGTAGTAACAATTAAATTATATAAGAAAATTAAATTGTATATATAATCTAGCATATTTTATATATATAATATGCTAGATTACTCAGCAACAACTATTAGTGTGCGTGAGTTTTGGTAACGTGGTCACTGGAGTGCTGCGTTGCAATGTTCAGAGAGAATCTTGGTGTTTTTGAATAAAATAATGTTTATGGATTTTATCGCGTTTAATTTACTTATTTTAGGTCGCGACATTTCCGCTGCTTTACAGCAACCCATGGTCTTGCGGGGAAGCTCATTCTGCGTAGATTGAACCAAAAATTAATATTCAAAAACTGAAAGTAGCTGGGCTAACTATGACATCGGGATGTCAAATATCTCAGTCTCCTTATTCAGGTCATTTGGGCCATAAGAATTGGTTATTATCGTTCTGTAGCGCTCGCCATTGACGGTGACCACCTCACTAGCGTCGTGAAACGAAACAAGGAAACGAGGCATTCCATCTCGGTCCTCAGGGGTGACAAAACATCTTCATTTGATTCTTAATTGAGGACCGTGTGGTCGTTTGTCACCCTTATTCTATAAAAAATGTGTAGCATTTATTAAAAATAATTCTAAGAGGTTTTGGAGTCTTCTCAAAATTTCATGAATGATCCGGAGAATTCCGTCATATATCCAAACAGTAAAAATGATTAAATAATAATTTATATCGGTCTAGAATATTCTAGATTATAAATATTCTAGATTATTTGAATGTTCAAAATTATTCAAAAATTATTTTAAACAGTTTGGAAAAGACATATTAATTACTAGCCGCGACCGCAGCCCGTATGTTACGCGTTAACTGGGGGACACAGTGGTATAAAAGACATCGAATTATTGGATTTCTTAAATATTACTTAATTTTAAGATTTTTGTTGGTTTAAACGGACTTTCGTGTTTATAATGAATTATTATCTATTTAAATTAAAACCGTGTAAAATATAGGGTTATTTTTCAAAGAGTAGCCAAATTTTAATCTTAAGTTTAAATATATAAATAACAATATAACGTTATTCAATTTTTGAATATCCGGCTTCTTCTTTTATTTAATTTTATTTATATTCTTTTATTTAATTATCCCAAATGGAATGTGATTTATGGGCAACAACGTTTTTACCTACCGATCGACCCTTACGACTTATTTAACTGATTTTACTGCGCACGCACGCGTGTGCAGTAAAGTCAGTTAAAATAATGCGTTACCACGTATTTTGCTTTTAAAGAATACATAATAAAGATTAAAAAAAAACAGAATGTTTCAGATTTTTTATAATTAATTTTTCTTCACCATTTGCCTTTATTACTTATACTGAACCTTCTCTGCAAAGGCTGGTTATTGCAAAATAACCCAAATTAACAAAAATATCCAAAATATGTTATGTATGTTTTATGTTAAATTATAAAAAAGTGGAGCAAGTGGGGTGCAACCCATTTTATTAAAAGATTTAAATGCACAAACAAAGTTTCAAGAGTTAACAATAATATTAGTATTATTATTAAATAAATGTTTAAGTACACTACCGACATGACTGGCCTGTTGGTCTAGTGGTTAGTGACCCTGACTGCTACACCGGAGGTCGTGGGTTCGATTCCCACCCAGGACAAATGTATGTGTGATGAGCACGATCATTTGTTCTGTGTCTGGGTGTAATTTATCTATAATGTTTATGTATTTAGAAATATATAAGTATGTTTATCAGTTGTCTAGTACCCATAACACAAGCTCTGCTTAGCTTGGGACTAGATGGCGTTGTTTGATAGTTGTGGAATATTATTATTATAAAAAAAAGTACAGTTTTAATATATGAAAAATTATAATGTAAAGATACGAGTTTGCTAAATACTCGTAAAATTGATCCTAGTTTGTTGTTAGTATACCGCAATCCTTCACGGTGGTGATATTCTGCTATTCTCGTTTCGATGAGATGATAAATAGAACATTATAAGGAAGAAAACTATTTTACATGACATGGACATTGAGCAAACTAAAGATATTTTGATAGGTTTTTCTTATTTAGATATGCTTATAGTTTTAATAGATATTTCAAAAGGCATCGTTTATATTTACTTTATTAAACACACAAAAAATTTATGGATACAGATATTAAATACGGGATTTAATATCTGAACCTAACCTTTAACATCCTAATTTTTTCCACTCCTAACCTCATGGTTAAGAGTAGATAAAATCATCATTCAGCCCTTCACATATCTACTGATTACAACAATGAAGATTCAAGCTATTAAAATATATACCTATTGTCTAATATTTTTTCGATATTAGCACTAAATTATTTTAAAAAAGAACTTAATTCACATCTATGGGTGGGTACTTAAGTATTAAGACGTACTATATCAGCTGCAAGTTCTCAGCTAAATATAAAATAGATTAGTGTCTGTTTTAACTATTTACTCTCAACATATTTTGTGCTCAATGTGTAAACATTCTTATGTGATAGTTTTTGCCAAGAAATGGTGATAAAATGGTGAATAAGTGATAAATGTTATGATAGAACTTTGTGTTATCTTACCTGCATCTACAAAATATCAAACTACATTTAGCGTCCATATATAGTGTAAGCAAAATTAAACTGCAAATTTCACAAAATATATAGCAATAAGCGTAGCTAACAGGCTATAATGTCGGGTTAATGATCCATGAGTTGAGGGATCGGAACCAGTCGAGAGAGGAAAGTTTTTAAGATTGTTTTTCACATTTTTTTTGGGGTGAAGATTTGTTTATTTTATTTTAAATTATTAGTTAAATAAAAGATATAATACAGATAATTAAGGAGAATTTAAGATGACCAAGTGTTCTGGATGTAAATCAAACGTGCTCGTTACGCAAAAACGAATAACGTGTTGCAATGTTAGTTGTCATCGCATATATCATAATGAATGTGTTGATTATACCGAGGTTGTTTCACGTTCCTCGTGGATTTGTCCTGTATGTATTATGAATCGTAAAAAAGGCGACAATACAAATACACCGGTCACTACACAATATCGAATACAAAAAGATACAATAACTCCAAATTCAACACCACCAACTGAGATCTCTAATTATGACCCTATCATTGCTGAAATTCGTAGCCTGCGCGCCGACATGAATGTGAAGTTTGAAGAACAGCAATCATCTTTAAATGATTTTAATGTCACGTTAACAAATATGCGACAAGATATTAAGGAACTTGGCACTAAGTTCTCACTTATGCGCACGGAGCTAGATGAAGTAATTAATTCTTTAAAGTTTCTTTCCGATTTTCATGATGAGCAAGTAAAGTTAAATGATGAAAATAGCAGTAAAATTACTAAGCTACTTGCGGAAAATGTAAAATTACAATCGGAGGTATCGGATATAACTACCAAAATAACAGTTTTGGAACAATACAGCCGGGATTCAAACTTGGAGATCCAATGCGTACCCGAACACAAATCTGAGAATTTGATTTCAATAATACGTCAAATTGCAAAAACAGTTTCCTACGAGTTGTCTGATGACGTAATTATGAACTTCCATAGAGTGGCCAAACTGACAAATGAGACGAATAGACCCCGTAACATAGTGGTTAAGTTGTCAAGCCCTCGTATTCGGGACGGATTTTTGGCAGCCGTAAAAGTATTTAACAAAAAAAATGCGGAAGACAAACTTAATACGTCTCATTTAGGACTCGCTGGGAAAAAGCAGCCCATATTTGTACAAGAGCATCTGTCGCCAACGAACAAGAAACTTCATGCGGCTACAAGGATAACTGCTAAACAGAAAAATTATCAGTTTGTTTGGGTCCGTAATGGGCATATTTTTATACGTAAAGATATCAAGTCACCTCCTAAATTAATTAAAGATCTAGGTAGTTTAAGCTCGTTATAATATTTTACTCTCATATTATATAAATATTGCATGTTTATAAGTTTTTTTTTTAAATCATTCAAATTCAAACTTAGTATATATTATCAGAATGTTAGGGGCCTCCGAACTAAAACTGAGGACATATATATTTCTGTTTTATCAAATAATTACGATGTTATTATTTTAACAGAATCTTGGTTAAATGATACTGTTTTTGATCATGAGTTGCTGGATAATCGCTACTATATTTTCAGACGTGATAGGTATACAACTTCATCTACAACTAAAAAAGATGGCGGGGGAGTGTTAATAGCGGTTCTGAAAAAGTATCAAGTTTATAGAAAAAACGGTTGGGAATCTACGTGTGAAGATATGTGGTTGTCCTTAAAATTCGGCAACAAATATATTAATATAGGTACTGTTTACTTTCCACCCCCCTTAAATGAGGATTACGTCACAACTTATTTGAACAATTTAACTAGAGTAATGCATGCTGATGTTGATAATACATTTCTTATTGTCGGAGATTTTAATTTAAACAAGATATTATGGCATACTGATAATGACAATAAATTATTACCGATAGCTAATGGTAATTTGGAGAACTTATTTCTGGATGCTGTGTCATTTAATAATTTGAACCAATGCAATAATATATTAAATAAAAATAACCGAATTCTTGATTTGATATTGTCAAATAATAGGGAATGTGTTTCGGTGCAGAAAGCTAATATACCATTGATTTCATTAGATGAACATCACCCTGCGATTGAAATAGAATTCCAAAAAAACTCACAAAGCATATTAAAGTCAAAACCGGAGCCGACATACAACTTTTTTAGAACTGATTATGAAGGTTTAATTAAGGAATTAGAGACGTTTGACTGGAGTGTTTTATGGCAGGATTCAGCAGATGTCAATGATATGGTTAATGTGTTTAATGAAACAATAATGTATTTTTGTAAAAAACATACTCCTTTATTTAAACCGAGAAATAAGAATTATCCTCCATGGTTTACATCTTCCTTAATCAAGGCTCTTAAAGAAAAATCGAAAGTTCACTGTCGGTTTAAAAAATATGGGAACACATTGGACAAACTCACTTACAACCTATTGAGAGCTAGGTGTAATCGACTTATAAAGGAATGTTATGCTAACTTTAAAATGCATACCGTAAGCCATTTACAAAGTAATCCTAAATACTTTTGGCAAATATTTAAAAGTAAAAAGTCAAATTCTGCTTCTATACCTAATGAAATGAAATATAATGACAAGCGGGCAAAGGGTGGTAAAGATATTAGTAATCTATTTGCAGAATATTTTCAGTCTGTATATAAAAAAGTAACAAGCAAACATACTCTAGAGATGATTTATGTGGAACAATATCCTCTAGCATGTCACTTTATGGTTTTCATTTAGACGAGCAAGAGATACGTGAATATTTACAATCCCTCGATAGTAACAAGAGTACGAGTACCGATTGCCTTCCTCCTATTTTTTTCAAGATCTGTGCGAGTTGCTTGTGTAAACCTCTTTCTAGAATTTTTAATAGGTCCCTTTCTTCTGGTATCTTTCCTCATCAGTGGAAAATTGCCAGTATAACTCCAATATATAAATCTGGTAATATTGATCGTAACTAATTATAGACCAATTTCATTGCTACCTGTTTGTGGAAAAGTATTAGAAGCACTAGTACATAAAAGAATACTAAGTCACGTCAAGAACCAAATAAGCCATAACCAATATGGGTTTTTTCCAAAAAGATCAACAGCTTCTAACCTTGTAAGTTATATATTGGACATTTCTGATGCTATTGATAACGGAGAAGAAGTTCACGCCATATATACTGATTTTCGTAAGGCATTTGATGTCGTAAATCATGACATATTAATGCTTAAGCTGGAAGCAATGGGTATTCATGGAACACTGCTTAGATGGTGTGAATCATACTTGAGGAACCGTTCACAACTTATTTATATTAATGGTTTTAAGTCATTCTCTAGTGAAATCCTTTCTGGTGTTCCTCAAGGTTCTCATCTTGGTCCGTTGTTTTTCTTGATATTCATAAACGATATAGGTAAAACCCTTAATTGCAAATTCAAAATGTATGCAGATGACTTAAAAATTTATCGAACCATAAAAAGTGTCCGTGATATTGTCGCCTTACAGCAAGATCTCGATAAAATTGATAGATGGTGTAGGGATAACCTCATGATATTAAATACACAAAAATGTTACCATATAAAATTTAGCAGAAAAAAGAAGAGTTACACAGCTGAGTATTTTATTGGTGACAGTGTCATAAAAGAAGTGTCTTGCTTGCGAGATTTGGGGGTTTTTGTAGATACTACTCTTTCTTTTCGACACCATTTTGATTACATAATTAAAAAATCTTCAAGACTCTCAGGGTTTATTTGTAGGCAAATGAATATTTTTAAAAATAGTGGACTAACCATAACTATTTACAATTCTCTCGTTAGAAGCCATTTGGAGTACTGCAGTGTTGTTTGGAATCCTATTTATACCATCCACTCTGAGCGAATAGAGCGTGTTCAAAAACGTTTTTTGTATGTCCTTAGCTATGCCGAGAACAAATGACATATACTTCATTCCTACAAAGATCGGCTAAAACATTTTAAAATGGTTCCGTTGCAAATGCGTAGGAAAATGTTTGATATAATGTTTTTGTATAAATTGATTAATGGTTATATTGACTCACCAATAATTTTAGAGCGCATACAATTCTTAATACCTCGTGCTAATAGTCGCCTTCATAATCGTAAAACATTTAGTCTTCCACTTTGTAGAACCGTTCTCGGACAACATTCGCCATTATACCGCATGTGTTCATCCAGTAACATTGTTCGATCTGAAGTGGATGTTTTCATGGGTTCAGTGGCCTCCACAAAAAACAAATTATTACAGTATCTTTATTCCAAGCATGTAATTTAATTTAGCCTTAATTTAATTTAGTCTTAATTTAATTTAATTTGGTTTTTAATTTAGCATGATTATAACATAACTTTAAGTACCAAACTTTATTGTTAATCACATGTTGTACATTATGTGCAAGCTGTGTCTACATATATATTAGAATACAATTTTGAAATCTTTGTTTTATATAATACCTGTTAGCCTGACCAAATAAAGAGAAAAAAAAAAAAGAGAAAAAAAAAATTTAGGAAATTCAGATATATGCTAAAAACTGGTTTAATTAAACTTTAAACTTTCTAGCTTTAGGATTTACAACCAATAATGCAGTATATCACGTTCAAAAGTCATTTTTTCCTTACAATATTGTGTACGACTCACTTCATTAAAGAATTTAAAACTCCGAGCATTATTCGAAAGGCTTTGTTGCGTTTGATTTGTGTGTTTGGGCGTGTAAAGCACAATACTACATTACGTTATTATATGCGCTCTCGCTTTATTCGATTATAAACCGTGTCACAATGGCATTAAGTCCCTTTTGAGGAATTAACGTGACATGGAATTTGAATTTATTCAATTTTCAGTGAATTGCGTTATTTGTAGACGAGATAGATTACAAAAGTTAATCGGCTTACGAAATTAATCGAAGTGCTGAATTGTGAATATTTTGACTTGTATAGAAAAGCCGGTTGGTTTAAAATTAACAGGTGTGTTAATTGGGATCATATTTATTGGCACTTAAAGGGCTTACAGTGCAAAAGTAGCATTTTATCATGAACATTAATAAATTAATTTAACACTAAGCTTTAACATTTCACTAAAATATGTAAATATATAGCTGTGCCCGCGGCGTAGCTCGCGAATATAGGTTTTACTTAAAGAATTTGACGTTTAGGGTAAGAGAACATTAAACGATTATTGAACATTACTGTATCAATAAGTGGTAACAAAATAAATCGATATGCTCAAAGTTCTAAGTCGTTTATGATAGAGCTACTGTGTAAACGACGATAGAAGTAGACTTAACCGGGGCGTACAGAAAAAGGTTACGGGGACTACTAACGCGGGAAAAATAAACATACAGTTGGCCATGTGCAAAACAATCAGTACTGAGGTCCACTCCTGCAACGCGTAAAGTTTGACCTTGCGCTTTATTTACGATCGTCGCATAACACACGCTGAGTGGGAAACACACTTAAAATAGGGATCTTAGATGATCATCGATGTTAAAAATTAAAACTTCGATTTTTTAACATCGATGTTGACATATGTCAAACATCGAAACATCGACGTCAATGAACCTATAATCGATAATTGGGAACTTGCAAACAATGCGAACTCGCGACATCAATATCAACTAAATCTTGCATCTGCTCTGAAGATTAAAAATTTTGAATAATTCAGAATTTCGGAACGCATCGTTAACCTAAAAAAATGTCAGTATGGTGAGTCAAACTTAATTGTCAAGTGTCTCCTGTAATGTCACAATGGTCACTGCTTTCGCTTTATTTTGTAGTGTCGTTGTCGGTTGTCGCATAATAACTATTCTACGTAAATTGATATTCAAGTTAATTGTTACTTTTCCCTTGCTGTGTATACCCACATAATTTTGAAACAATGTGTAAGTATCTACACATATACAAAAACCATCGATAATGGTCAACATCGATGTTTTGAGTAGCCTAAACATCGAACATCGATGTTGAGCTATCGATGCCAACATCGATGTCATTATCGATGTTATTATCCCTATCTTAAAACTGAAGCCTGGGCCGTGGTAGCTCAGATGGTTAGCACTCGCTGTAAGCTTCACAGTACTCGAGCAACCCGGGTTCGATCCCCGCCGGCACCAATGAAATTGTTAATTGCAATTTTAAGTGCTGATTTACCACGTGCTCGGCGGTGAAGGAAAACATCGTGAGGAAACCTGCATGACTGAGAAATAAAAAAAAATATTTCGATGACATGTGAAGTTCGCCAACACGTATTGGGGCAGCGCGGTGAACATTTCCTTGCCCTAAAACCCTCCCAGAAATGAGAGGAGGCCTGTGCCCAGCAGTGGGACGTAAATAGGCTGCAACTTTACTTTA